AATTCACATGTACGAGGTTGAATTAAAACTGAGATATACAGCTTTTGTCTGTTTTGGAGAGTCTTTGTGCTATTCATGGAATTATATGCACTAACCAGTTCAAACTTCAGAGCCCTTCAACCTATGGAATTTGACTACAAGAGTAGATGTGGCCATAGTTGCATTAGCGAGGTCTCAAATTTAAGGCCATTTGGCTGATAGGCTCCGATAGTCTCTGATACCTTATTTGAGTTAAATGCACGTGACAGTTCATTTAAAATTCCATGCTAATGAGGAAAGTTGGAAACAATATTTCAGCCTTATTATACATGAAAAGTCCCTGTAGTTGATGTTGGAGTTACAAGAATTTAAAACTTCGTGGCCATGTCTTGAAACTTTGACTCTTTTTTTTTTTGCTTATCTCATACTGCATAGGAGCCTTTTCCTCAACATATTAATGGAGCATTATTTACTTCTGCAGCTATACCTTCACTTCGGGCTTGTGACTGCCCAAATAAGGATAAAGAAGCTCTCAACTACTTATTTCTCCTGATCCCTCTTATCAACGTTATTATAATTCCATTCTTTGTGAAGTTCTTCTGGTGTTGTCTGGTCAGCAGATACAGTTGCTTTCTTCGTGATGTATGCATGGAAGGTAACTTCTCATCATCTCATGCTAGTCTTTTCTGGTTCTTGAGATCAATTCCTTAAAATATCTTTAATCATATTTTTATGCACAACTTGGATGGCTGCAAAGGTTGGAATAAAGATTTTGGGTGTGCTATCCTGGTAATGTGTGCGTGAAAGGTACTTTGCCATCTTAACGTTGCTTGTTCCTTCAAGATTGAGTTCTTAATATATGTTTAGTCATATTATTTATGTGCAGCTTGGATGATTGGTTTCAAAAAACTGGAGTCAAGAGCTTTTGTGATGAGAGAAACATACAAAAGAAGACACATGAACAATTGAAACAAGCTTCTCAAACACTTGCGAAAACGTCTTAAAACACTTGAAAACTATTGCAAACATATGCAACATCTAGATGAAACACTTGCAACATACATATGAAACACATGAAACACTTAAAACATATGCTTCCAATATGCATGTATATATATCCAAATCTACTTTTGCAACGTCCAGATAAAAACACTTGCAACATACGCCTGGAACAGAAGAAATATTTGAAACATACACTTGAAACATATGTGTATAGCCATTACAATATGTGCAACATCTTGATCTACTTTTGCAACATCGATATACAACACTTGCAACATACCTCTGAAATACTTGAAACATACTCTTGCAACATGCGCTTTCTACGTAGCATCTACTTGCTGCTTGGGCGAACGAAGGTTCGTCGACGCAGAGCTCAAAGCTACGGAGTGGGGGGTGCCAACGGGCGAGCAGTTGTGCGACCACCGATGAGTTGTTGCGCGGCTCTTGGCGACTGGGGGTGCGGGTGCGTCCTTCAGGGCGGAGGCGATAGCATTGCCCGCGGCGAGCTTTCCGCTCACTAGGAAGGTGAGCGGCGGCCGGGCGGCGCGATGGAGTCGGCTGCGAAAAACACGTGTGCGCAGTGAAAGAAGGTCGCGGCAGGGAGGAATGGAGAATGGACATTTAATTTTTTACGGAGAAGCCAGTAGCAGACTGCTCTAGGAAGGGCGCGTCCGAAACGTCGTATGCCCTAAGGAGAGCATTTCCATTCTGCTGATGGTGGATCTAACGAGCTCCATCCTAAGAGGCCCTAAGACTGTCTCCAACAGCGCAACCCAAACGCAAAATTGGTGATTCATAGTACTTTGCATACCTAAAAACATCCTCCAACAGAAGACCCAGACAAAGGACCCATTTTGCATCCGAGGCCAGCCAGAACGCAAAAAAGCGTCGTCGAGGAGAGACGACGCAAAAATCTTGCGCCCATAGTGGTGGGCCCACGGACGAGATGACGGCGAGGACCGCAGCAGGGCGCTACCGGCTCATGCGAGGCAAGCACGCGGCGGGGAGCGGCCGGCCTCGTGCCCCCATCCAGCAGCCCCGACTCCCTCTCCTTCGCCTCCGCCTCATGGGCCATGGGGCCCACCCTCGCCATGTAGCTCGACAACATCCTCGACCGCGGCGGGGATGAGCTCCGCCTCCTCTACCTCCTCTGCCGCCTCGCGCTGTCTGTCGAGGCCCACGGCAGCGCGTTCCTCCCCATCCTTGGCAACCGCGAGGTCATGAATGTCTCCGACGACTTCCACTTTGCCACGCTGCAGGGCCTCCAGGAGTTCTCCGCCTGGGCCGGGTGGTACCACGCGGGGCTAGTTCGACGCCGGCGGATGAACGAGCCACCACGGGCGGCCGACGCATGCTCCACCCCCGGCGCCAGCGAGCTGCGCCATGCGGGTGGCCTCCGCCTCCAGCCTCGTCGCGCGCCGCCGTGTGGGCGGACCGGCCCCGGTGAGTTCCGCCTGCGGCCTGGCTCCACCCGCAGCGCGTGGCCGAGCTCGCTGGCGTGGGGCGGCATGCGGTGGAGGACGTACGGGGCAGCATGCGGCTAGGCTCACCGCCGCAAGAGGCGCGGGGCCAGTCTCGCCGGCAGAGGGAGGAAATTTTGGGTTCGTTGTTGGAGAAAGAAAATTTTGGATGGGTGACCCAGTGACTGTGCATGACCCAATCCTTAGAATGGGTCTTGTGTTTGGGTTTGGGCTGTTGGAGATAGTCTAAGGGCGGATCTAATGGGCTGCATGTGGATGGCAATGACATACGCCAGACAAGAGTATACTTTGTTAAGAAAAAAAGAGCTCATGCCCGACCCAGCCTGCTCGGCTGCTCCTCGACACAACTCCGCGAGACCGCAACAACGCCTCCTTCCTCCACGCGACGGGGGACGTGGCACCACGCGACAAGTGACGACACCGCCCCCAGCCCAAGCCTGACCGGCGGACTCCCCAGGACCCTAGATCTCCGTCTCCGCGCCCCCAAGCAGTTCCTGCACCGCCCTCCTCCGTCTCGGCTTCTCCAGCCACGCTGGCATGCTTCCCAGCCCGACGCCGCTGTCTGTAGCCACGCCGGCGCGCCCCCAGCCCCGCGCCATCCGCTCTCTAGCCTGGCCGGCGACAAGCCTAGTGAGAACTTAGAACTCTCTCCCCCTCCATTCTCTTCTATCTACAGGTACATGAAAACAAGCACAAGTTTATTTGACCTGACATTAGGATTTGACACAAGAGAACTAGAGAAGTGGGGCTAGTTGCTTACAGAGTTATTAGGATAACGGGAACAAGAAAAATAATACCATGATAATTCAAATATAACACTACCTCATTTTGCATGCAAAAACTAAAACAACAAAATGTAAACGTCAAATTGGCCCTATTCATTGCATGTTTTTGGATATCACGTCAAATGGACCAGGTACACTACACCTAAAACACGGATCCGAGCAATACCGATCGCACCGATGCTGTCAGAAGAGAGAGGAGTGGGTGCAGTGGCAGGCACACCAAAATCCTCAAGAAGCCATCGTAGCCATGTCACCTCCGTAGTCACAGTGGCCATAGCACATAGCTCAGCCTCAGCTCTCGAGCGGGAACTTCCGATAGTTTGTGTTGGAACTGTCAGAAGTTCCGCCCAAACTTCGAAACTTCCGACAGGTATTGATACGCCTATTCATCCCATCCTTTCAATCAGTCATAATCTAATTTCTGAATACCTGATTGGTGATGGCTGATGGGTGATCCTATCTGGTCGTCCGTTGTGACACCATTTGCTCATGGGGGTGGGGGCCTGAAAGCATAAGTCTTGTGCTTATCTATCTTAGGAGTAGTTGGTGCTTATGTCAGCATCTTATCTTATCATCTTGCTTTAGCATCTACTTAGAATATACTGTAATCCTTTCTTAAAGACCAAGTATGCTACCCTATATGTATCCCCAACCTGCCACGATTGTAGTAAGGCTAATGAAATCAGAAATCTAGCCCCAAAACCTATGCTTCGGTTCCAACAAATGGTATCAAAGCCTAGGGTTTCCCCCTTTACCAATCCTCAATCCGATCGCCATGTCCAACGGTCCAATCGCTCCCCTTCCCTCTCCTCCCACTCCTTCCATGGCTCCACCACCTCCAACGGGTGGAGTAGGTAGTTGGTGGATGTGGCTGGCAGCGCGAACGAGCTCTATGCGGCTGCTATGGTGCAGGTTGTGCGGGATGCCGAGCGCACGATGCGGGAGTCTGCGGGAGGCGCGCCGAGCGCATGAGGAGACAGAGGCATGGGAGCACGGCTACCAGGGCAGCGCGACTCGTGGCTGCGGAAGCGGAGGCCGCACGAACTGCGAAGATGGCCAGACAGGCCGCAACGGCTGCGGCTGCTCTGTGAGCATAGGATGATGCGGATTGGGCCGACCACGAGCCTCGCAGCGTGGATGCTGGCGCGGGCCGCGCGGGAGCCACGGCAGAGTGGGTCCGGACTGATGCGGGTGGATGGAATCACCTAGGCGGATGCAACACCGGTGGATACGACCACGACCTCGATCTACAGCGCGTGCGGGCTACGCAGGTGGTCGAGCGGGTCTGACGCGATGCAGGCTGCTTCGACAACCGACGCGAACGCGATGTGGGCGACGTCGACGATCACCTAGACGGACGCGGCTGGGATGCTACGCTGAGTGTGAGCGGGCGCGGGATCCTGAGATCGACCGTGAGCTGGAGGTGCAGCGGCAGCGGGAGTGGGCAGAGCTAGAGTAGGCTCTACGGGACTTCGACGTGCGCAACCCCGGTGGACACGGCCTCGGTGTACGTGAGTGGTGCGGACAGGATGCTGGCGCACGAAGCCCTCATAGGCCGTGCGCCTCCCCTTCCTCGGACCAGTGCCGTGGTCGTTGTGGCTGGCCCGGCTCCCCTCCCGTCATGTAGACCATCATCAAGGACGCCGACGGCGGATGGCCCATGCTCACCAAGACCAACTACGCCGAGTGGTCCATGGTGATGAAGGTGAAGATGCAGGCGCTAGAGGCCCTTCTTGCTGCCATTCCACCAGAGATGCGGTCGTCCCTCGTGAACAAGAAGACCACCAAGGATGCCTGGGATGCCATTGCCGTGGCATGTATCTACAGTTACCGCGCCTATAGATACACGTTGCAGAAGCTGCGTCTGGAGTGGGAGAACCTGGCTTTCAAGCTGGGCGAGGATGTCAATGACTTCGCTCTCCACCTCAACACCCTGATGCAGCAGTTGGCATGGTACAGCGACAACGGCATCGATGAGGAGAGAGTCGTCGAGAAGTTTCTCCATGTCGTCCCCAAGAAGTACTCGTAGGTCGCCATAGCGATTGAGATGCTACTGGACTTCTCTGAGCTATCGATCGAGGAGGTGACGGGTCACCTCAAGGCTGTCGACAACCACGAGTAGGTACCTCCCTTAGAGTCGGTCACCATCGGTGGCAAGCTTCTCTTCACCGAGGAGCAGTGGCTCGCTCGCCAGTGGGAGCGGAGGAAGAGGGAGACCTCGGGTTCATTGGATTTGAGTTCGTCGAGCAGCCGCAAGCTTCAGCCACACAAGCCGGACAAGGTGTGTGGTGGCGCTCTTGACAGCGTCGATGGTGAGCGCAAGGCTACCCACGATGACACCTGCAAGAACTACGGTAGGACCAGCCACTGGGCCAAGGATAGCCGACAGGCGAAGCGTGGTGGTCAAGCACATGTCATGCAAGCGCAGGAGGGTGACAAGCCAGCTCTGTTCCTTGTACACGGGAGCATCGAGCTGCACTCCTCTCCCACGCTTTCCGCCGTCGCGCTCCTCGACCTCGACGAGCTATAGGCCCACGTCTTCCTCGGCAACGGGTCCACCCACCACATGACTGGGCGGTGGGAGTACTTCTCCGAGCTTGACTCTGGCGTTCGAGGCTCCGTCAAGTTCAGGGATGCCTCTGCTATGGAGATCAAGGGCGTTGGCTTTGTCGTCTTCACTGCCAAGACCGAAGAGCACCGGCTACTCACTAACGTCTACTACATCCCCACATTGAGGAACTCCATCATCAGCTTAGGACAGCTACATGAGAACGGCTCATGCGTGGAGATCGAGCATGGGGTCCTGCGCATCTGGGATCAGCGTTGCTGACTTCTCGCCAAGGTGAATAGAGGCACCAATCGCCTCTATGTTCTCCACGTGCAGGTGGCGCTGCCCATGTCTTGTAGCCAACCGTGACGACGATGCCTGGCGGTGGCACGAGCGCTTTGGGCACCTCAGCTTCGAGGCCCTGAAGCAGCTCGACAACAAGGAGATGGTGCAGGGAACATGTGGAGCAGTTCTGCGACACCTGTGTCCTCACCAAGCACCAGCGGCTCCGCTTCCCCCGCCAGGTGAGCTTCCGCGCCAAGGAGAAGATGGAGCTTGTGCATGGCAACCTCTGTGGCCCCGTGACACTGGCTACACTTGAGTATGGCGCTTCTTCGTCCTCCTCATCGACGACATGTCCCGCTACATGTGGGTGGTCCTACTCGACACCAAGACGGCAGCTGCAGACACCATCAAGCGCCATCAAGCTGCTGTGGAGAAGGTGTGTAGCCGCAAGCTTCGGGTGCTACGCACCGATAACGGCGGCAAGTACACGGCGGCTGAGTTTGTGGTGTAATGCGTCGACGAGGGGATCTAGCGCCACTTCTCCGTGCCGTACACCCCACAGCAGAACATCGTCGTGGAGCGCCGTAACCAGACGGTGGTGGCCACCACCCGTGCCCTCCTCAAGTAGAGAGGGATGCCAGCAATCTACTGGGGTGAGGTAGTGATGACCGACGTTCACTTGCTCAACCGCTCGCCCACCAAGGCCCTCGACGATAAGGCACCATACGAGGCCTGGCATGGGTGCAAGCCAGTGGTGAGCCACCACCGCGTCTTCGGCTGTCTCGCCTTCGCCAAGGAGCTCAACAACGTCATCAAGCTCGATGACCGTAGCATGCCCGGGGTCTTCATCGGCTACGTGGAGGGCGTCATGGCCTACCGCATCCTCGACCCTGTGACACAGCACATCCGCATCTCCCGTGACGTCGTGTTCAACGAAGGGCGAGGCTGGGCCTGGGACAAGGCAGTGGACGACGGCTCGACTTAGACTCTCATAGACTTCGTCGTCGACTATGTCCACTTCGAGGGAGCCGGGGAACCTAGCAGCTCATCTTCACTGAGCTAGTCTACCTCATCACCCGGCTCGAGCTCCGACGAGTCCTCCACCATCTACACCACCAGCGAGTCCTCCACCACCTGCACCACCGGCTATGCCCCGCTCTCCTACACCAGCTCCTGACTCTCCTGCACCGGCGCCCACACCTCCAAGATCGGCACCAGCAGCTTCGGTCCGTGACGAGCAGTGCACGGTGGAGTTCGCCACTCCATTGTCAAACGACGAGGACCGTGTCGATGCCTACCACGACGACAAGCCTCTGCGCTACGTTACCTTTGAAAGCTCTAGTTTGGTTTTGATGAATTGATAAAACCCTAAGTGCTAACCCTTTTACTCTAAGTGGTCATGAGATAGGGTAGTACATTCCAAGTGGTGGAGCTAATGGTGAAGATCATGATGGTGGTGATGGCCATGGTGATCAAGTGCTCGGACTTGGAAAAGAAGAAAGAGAAAACAAAAGGCTCAAGGCAAAGGTGATATCCATAGGAGTTTTTGTGTTTTGGTGATCGAGACACTTAGCGAGTGTGATCACATTTAGGATAGATAGCCGTACTATAGGATGCTTATGTGGCTATTATGAAACAGAAAAGGTGGTGTCTTACCTTCAGAAGATGGTTACATGAAGATTTGCAGAATCAGTTAAGACATTTGCATGATATTGTGATTCGGTGTGGCACAAATGAGGAAAGGGATAAGGCGAAATGGGACTGGGAAAAGACTGGTGTTTTCATGGTCAAGTCAACTTACAAGCAGTTATGTAAGAATGATTATGGTCCCAATTTTAAGAGAATCTGGAAAGCCAAAATGCCACTGAAAATTAAAATCTTTATGTTGTTAGTGTCTCAGGACGCTATTCTGACTAAAGATAATCTTTGCAAAAGAAAATGGAAAGGCAACAGTTACTGCTTTCTGTGCTGAGAAGGAAACTAGAAATCATTTGTTCTTTGAATGCTCAACTGCTAAATACATTTGGAGCCTGTTGGCTTACTCTTTAGGAACTGATTGTAGACTTGTGAATATGGATCAATATTGGGTTTGGATTCATAATATCCTGCCTCAGGGCTCTCAGATGCATGCTGTGGGTCTGGCTATGGTCTGCTGGGCAACTTGGCGGACCAGAAATTCAGTGTGTTTCGACAAAAAAAGAATCAAATCTCCTACTGAGATTGTTTGCATGATATGCATGATATGCTCTTTTCTTATATACTGGGCAGGTATGCTAAATGACGGCTTGAAGCAGCAGGTGGTGCAGGGAGCGGAAGCACTAAAGACGGCGGCCCTCTCATTCCACAAGTAAGATGTGCAATCTCAGACCAATGATGATCGTCAGCTGATCCCTTTTGCTGGTTGATGGAGCCAGTTTTATGTTAAGTTGTAGTTTGTGCGCCGTTCTGGGCCAGAGGCCTTGTATGGAACCCGTTTAAACTTGTTCGGTCTATTTTGTTGGCGCTCTGTCTCTTAGTTCTGGGAAGTACTGGTAGGTTGCGTCCATGCATAAGTTCCATCTGTGTCCGTATGCATGGATCTGTCTTTCTGGTGATAGTTTGAACTCGTGGTTATCAAAACTGGATCGCCTTGTAATTTCGTTGCCATGGTAATGAAATTCGGTTTTACCGGTGTGGAAAAAAGATAGCCATACTATTAAGAGGGGTGAAATTCATCATGAAATGCGGTTATCAAAGTGCCACTAGATGTTCTAACTCATTGCACATGCATTTAGATTCTAGTGAGTGCTAACACTCTTGAAAATATTTGTGAAAATATGCTAACACACGTGCACAAAGTGATACAGGTTGGTACATTTGAGTAAAGGTGGAGAAGTTGGAGTTGAGATGGCGCTGTTTTTCACTAACCGGGCGTTGGACACGTAGTGACCGGACTCGGTGTTGGGTGCGTCTGGTCATCAGGGCAGTGAGGCGTGTTGTCGGTCTGTTGACCGGACGCTGGCGTAAGGAGTCGACCTGATGTGACGGAGGTGCGTCCGGTTGAGTATGACGTACGCTGACGTGAGCGGTTGTGCGAGCGAGAAGAGGACCTGACGCTGGGCGCGTCCGATTGCTCCTGATCGGACGCGTCCGGTCATCAAAAAGTCGCTCGGGAACCTTACAGGAAACGATTTGACGCCGCGTTGAAGTGAGTCAGGTCGGTGGAGCAGGGCGTCCAGTCGCTGGTCTGCGTAGCTCGGGGGCACGGCAAACTGACGCTGGCGTGGCGCGTCCGGTCGCCGTACCGGCGGGTCCGGTCGTCACTTAGGCACTGGCGCGGCAGAACTCGACCGTTGGGATCGCACGGTCATCGTTGAACACGGGGACACGTGGACACTGGGGTGCCGCGCGTCCGGTCATACCGACCGGCGCGTTCGGTCATCACTGAGGCGCTGGCGCGGTAGAACTCGACCGTTGGGATCGCACGGTCATCGTTGAACGCGGGGACACGTGGACGCTGGTGTGCCGCGCATCCGGCCATACCGACCGGCGTGTCCGGTCGTCCCGAAACCAGTGAGGTAAAGGGTCCAACGGCTCTATTTCACGGGGCTCCTATTTAAGCCCCTTGACCGGCCCTAGCTCACTCTCTTAGCCATTTTTATTGACATAGCAACCTAGTGAGCTAAGCCAAAGCCCTCCCACTCATCTTCATCATTGATTCATCATCTTTGTGAGATTGGGAGTGAATCCAAGTGCATTACTTGAGTGATTGCATCTAGAGCCACTTGGTGATTATGTTTCGCTGTGGATTTTGCTTGTTTCTCTTAGTGGTTGCCGCCACCTAGACGGCTTGGTGCAGCGAGGATCGTCGAGCAGAGGAAGGTGATTGTCTTTGGCTCCGATCGTGGTGATTGTGAGGGGTTCTTGTGCCTTCCCGGCAGAGCGCCAAAGGCAACTCTAGTGGATTGCGTGTGACTTGTGGATCCTCATTTTGTGTTGGTTGTGCGGCACCCGGTTGTGGGTTGGGCGTGTGATGCCTACTAGCACGTGAACCTCACCACAACGGGGACTAGCTTGCCGGCAAACAAGTGAACCTTAGAGGAAAAATTGATTGTGTCATCATTGTCTCCTTGGTATTCTTGGTATTCATTGTGATTTGTCACTTGTCACGGCGGTATATCACCTCTACCTCTCTTGCATTATTTTCCTAGTGTAGCTAAGCTCTTTAGTGTAATTATTTTTTAGAGCTAGCTTGTGTAGTGGTTAGTGAGGCTCTTTAGTTAGTCTTTGAGAGCTCACTAACTTAGTGGTAGTGACCTAGCCTAGTGTGTGACATAGAGACTATAGCAACTAGAATTGTTGGTAGGTGACTTGTATTTTTAGTAGGTTAGCACAACATTCGCTTCGCTTCATATTTATCTAAATACTTGGCTTAGTGTTGTAGAATTATTAATAGGCTATTCATCCCCATCTAGCCATTAGGACCTTTCAACCTTGGACAACATCTTCAACGATTAGCCCGTCCCTAGACTGGCGATGCACGACTTTGAGGCAGAGCTGCACCTGGCGCACGAGGATGGCGAGCCCCACTCCAAAGGTGAGGTGGAGGGAGACATGGCATGGCGCGCTGCGATGCAGCAAGAGATGGACGTGGTCGAGAGGAACCGGATGTGGGAGCTGGTGGATCTTCCTGCCGACCACCGCGCCATCACCCCTTA